AATTATTTCTATTTCTCTGAAATTCTTTGGAAATATCAAGTAAAAAAATTAAATTGCCATGAGTTATTCCAGATTTTGTTTTAGATAAAACTGAGTGGCAGTCCTGATCAGTGGTGGGTTGCTCCTGGTTCGCCCAGGTTCGGACAAACTGGTAGCGGTGGTGGGAGGCTCCGCTCACTCACTCGGACATCATCAAAAACACTCTGCGCATACAAGCTTTGCACTCTGCGCAAAGCAAGCGAGCATGCCCCCGTACTACCGATAGCAAACCAGTAGCGCCGGGATTTGAAACCCACTACTGGTCCTGATAATTAAAGCTGATCAAGTTTTGGACAATTGGTCATCTAAAAAAGACAAATTTATAGTTTCATCATCTTTAATTGGGGAATTCTTTAAACCAATGACATTATTTTTCAGACTTGGATGGTAATCTTAAAAAGTTAAGTAATTCTAAAAACAGAGAGCTGCTGTACTTGGACAAAGTCTGAAGCACAATTTTGAAAATATGAGCAATTTGGTTAGACACTGCAACACGATACACTGTTTAACCACTGAAATTTATTATAAAGGCACAGTTTTATTCATGTTTAGAGAGGTCCAGCGAAACTTACTTCCAATAAATATGGAAATGATAGCAGCCTTTTAAGTCAGAAGTACCATTAACACATCACACAAACCTCACTTAATTCTGTATAATTTGCTAGAGTCTGAGAACTCACTGGGTTGCTGATTTAGTAACCTCTGAAAAGGTTTCTAGTGAAAGGAAAGCAACAATATAGTTCTTCTATTACAAATCATGAACTTAGTGTGCTGAATTTATGCACGTTGCTCTTACTGACATTTGCTTCCGCCAGGCACACACTGATATCCATTTGTCAGAGCTGGAAGTGATTCATGCAGCTCCTTATGTTCTACCCAGCTTTTAAAAATAATCTGAAGGAGCATATGGTAACTGTGCTGTGTCTATTACTTCAGCTGTAAGAGATATATAACTGACTTCTGTGGAATCTATGCCTCAACATGTAGAAAGGCATTCTTCCTAAGAACAGTAATATTTTTTTACAGATTTGCAACTGCTAAAGAATCCAAGACAGGTATCTTAGTCCATGGGTTAAATCCACAGAGTGTGAAGCTAAGCACATAGCAGAACACTGAACCTGAATCTACAAATTTGCTTGTTCTGTATCTTTACTCATCCTTGATTTGTTATTAGAGCATTATTAGAGAAAACTGCTTTTCAAATTTCTTATCTAATAAAATTAACTGACAAGGTTGCTACCTGTAATAAAGAAAAAACAACAACCTTGTTCTAATGTTTTGGATGAATCTTGTAGAATAATAGAGATGGCAGAATACATTTTACATCTATTATACTATGACAGAATCAGCTAAGAATAGGATAGGATAGGATAGGATAGGATAGGATAGGATAGGATAGGATAGGATAGGATAGGATAGGATAGGATAGAATTCTTTATTGGCCAAGTGTGATTGGACACACAAGGAATATGTCTTTGGTATAAAATAGGCATTATATATGATTTTTTTCCTATTGATTTATTTTGACCAGGCAAGTGGCACAACATTGCTTAACTTGGGTGAGCTTGGAAATTAAGTAGGGTTGGGTTGGTCAATATTTGGATTAGAGACAATTTGGCAGTACAGAATTGGAATTTGGATTTAGAAGTTTAAAAACAAGACTAAGGAGTGGAAAGCAAAGATGATGACAATCTGTTTCTGCACTCTTTGCTTTTGTTCCCCCACCCACTTTTTAAAAAATAGCCCTATAAGCAGGGATGAAATGCTTCAGCTTCGGACTGGATCGCCCAATTCGGTAATGCTGGCGGTGGGTGATTTGGAGAACCAGTAGCAGAAATCCCTGTGCGCCCCCACCCCACCATGCCCAGCTGAGCCGCAAGATCATCAGAGGCTTTTTTTTTTTACTTTTAAAAGCATTTTTTCGATAACTTCTTCCACTGAAAAAATGCTTTTAAAAGTAAAAAAAAAAAAGCCTCTGATGATCGCCCGACTCAGCTGGGATCGTCAGAAGCTTTTCAGAGCATTTTTTCCTGCAACCTCTTCTGGGGAAGAGGTGGTTAAAAAATGCTTAGAAAAGGCTCTGATGATCCCAGCTGTGTTGCCTGATTGGCAGAGCCTTTTTAAAGCATTTTTTTAACCACCTCTTCCCCAGAAGAGGTTGCAGGAAAAAATGCTTTATAAGTCTCTCTGACAATCAAGCAACTCAGCTGGGATCATCAGAGAGACTTTTAAAGCAATTTTTTTCTGCAACCTCTTCAGTGGAAGAGGTGGTTAAAAAAATGCTTTGAAAAGGCTCTGACGATCCCAGCTGTGTTACCTGATTGCCAGAGCCTTTTCAAAGTATTTTTTTGCATTTGCAGAAAAAATGCTTTGAAAAGTTTTTTTTTTAAAAAAGTTGGCCACGCCCACCCAGTCACATTACCCCACCACCATCAAGCCATGCCCACAGAACCGGTAGTAACAAATTTTACATTTCACCTCTGCATATAAGACATGTCTATGTCTGGGAGTCAGTAAATAAAACTTCATGGGCAGACCATTGTAATCAACAAAAGCTGAGACTGGTTAGAAGAATATAGTTTTAAGGATGTTTGATATTGATTCTGAAATTTTATGTTCCATGGTCAAGTGCAACATTTAGACTTTGAAAGGCTACAAGAGTCCCTACTTTCACAAAGTAGGTAAACTTAAGAAAAAGTAAGCAGAGCTAGGTCAAAATTAAATCTTGATCCGATTCAATATAATTCAAATAAAAATTTATATAATTAATATGATTACCTTCCATAGAATTAATAATTACAATTTGTTTGCAACACATTGTTGTTCTTAGTGTGATCTTAAACAAAGCTTTCTATGTTGTTTTGTGGTCCTGGAGTTTCAGGTTGCACACCCCGCTTTTACGGATTTAGTTTGGTTGTCTTGCATTACTTTGTGCTATCTAGACCCACATAATATATGATGTATTTTATATGTTTCTATAAATCATGGAAAAAAGAGTGGTTACTGAATTTTTTTGGGTTTAGAACCAACCATTTAGAATCCATATGAGAATCATATGGATAGTGCTGGGCACAAATTGAATTAATTCACTAAAATTTTTTTTAAAAAGTTTTATATTGTAATGATAAATTCAGTTTGATATCAGTATTTTATTTTTATTTCAACCTTAACAATATCAGTAACCTTGCTGTTACATTCGGATTTTCATGTATGTAAACTTTTGTCACAATCTAACACATTTTAGCCAAAGAAGTATACAAATACATGTAAGCAACATTATTTTTTAAAACATTTTACTAATAAAAAATGAAAACACAGATCAAACCATATGTTCTCGCTAATATTAAATCTATCTTAAAAACATAGAGATTATGGACGATTCATAGAATTACCTTTCAAAAATTGAAATAGAGTCTATTTGGAATTGTTTGAACTGTTGAGGATAAAGATACTTTCTAAAGTACTTTAGAAGACAATACCAGAAATGTGAATTCCTGAAGCTTTTAACTCAGAATGTTTCCAGTTACAATTAAGAATAATCAAAAGTAGGCATTCTGCCTTGCCTAGCTCCAATTTAATGCTTTTGGCAAGAATACATCTAATATATTAGAAGTAAGTCCCATATAGTTTAACAAAGATATAATGGCTTCTTTTATTGTCATAAATTGAGAAGGAGTTCTAAAGATCTTCAGAAACAAAGAGTGGCAAAGCAAATAGATTAGTGGTTGTGTAAGAATTATTTTATTCATAAAATATATGTGTGAAAACAAATAAAGTCTTACCAAAACTTTATTTATGAATGGTCTGGAAATAAACTTTTAATAATAAAGGTAAAAATAAAGCTCTATATTTTTTAGACATACAAGACATTTTTCTTGATATTCATCATAACATAGGCAAAATGAAGGAAAACAGACTGCTTCTATATAATTACTCACCTTTCCAGTAGATGGTAGTGCAGATGTGCTTAAGAGTTTGTATTATAAACTAAAGCAAACCATATGTACACATTTTACACATGTAGATTAGCAAGGTCTTTTTCCCAATATTTGAGCATTCTAATTAAATTGTGAGAATCTGTAAAAGATGAGAAAATGAACAATATGAGTTTTGACTCTAAATACAACTCCTTCAAAACCATCTCTAGAGATTCCATTTTTAGAAAGATCTCTGCTGATTTATACAAATGTTCATAAATTGAAAGACAGCAATATGTACAAATCAATAGTGCCTATAGCTATGCAGCCTTGTAAATTTGAGTGATGGCACAAAATCTTATGTTGTTTCTCAATAATTTGCAGTAGCAATTCTACTATAATTTTCCTTGTAAAATTTCATTTTCTTATCTAAGATTGATCTATCTATATCACCAGTGATAGGAATCAAGTTTTACTTCTTTATTCTGCATTTGCATTATGACTGAGACTTGGAGTTCATTTCAGCATCCATATATATTATGAAACATATTTACTCAGATATTAAACTCAGTGAATTAAACTCCATAGCTCTATTGACTTTTTTTTTTTTTTTTTTTTTAATTTGATTTATATGCCGCCCTTCTCCGGAGACTCAGGGCGGCTTACAGTGCGTTAAGCAATAGCCTTCATACTTTTGTATATTTATACAAAGTCAGCTTATTGCCCCCACAAACTGGGTCCTCATTTAACCTACCTTAGAAAGGATGGAAGGCTGAGTCAACCTTGAGCCTTGGAGAGATTCGAACCAGCAGTAAATTGCAGGCAGCTGTGTTAATAACAGGGTGCTTTAAACCACTGTAGTACCAAGGCTCTTTACATGTATACGAAAAGTTCTTTACATGTATACGAAAAGTTCAATTGGATTATTTCTCTCTAATGAGTGTAGGATTAATGCATACAATATACAACATTTACAGGTAGATTATAAACTGCTTCTTAATAGACTAATGTTCTTTCTTCTGGTTTCTTCTTTCTCCATCCCAGTGTTTGCTATTCCAATCAATCAACCAATTTTATCTCTTTTACCAGTGCTGCATTACTCATTCTACCCAACACTTAATATTCTTCACTGGAGCAAACAGAATAAAGTAAGTGCTAGAGTTATGAGAGTACATGTTCATCCCATTCTTCTAGGATGACCAAGCACCATTCACAGCTCAGGACAAAACATGTTATATTTCACACACAACAAATAAGCTCTGTTTTATAATCATAACCTTCAGCTTTTCCATTCTCCAAATCCTGTTTTGCCATGAGGACTATCAGTTGTAAATTTTCAATTTGGTGGCAGCATAAATGAGATGAAAGCCAAAGGCATTTATTTAATAAACAAAGGCAAAAGTAATAATGATCAATTAAATAATGTGTTGAAGGAAAAATATAAAGATAAAATAACTTTACTGATACGCTGAATGCGGCTGCGCGGGTTATGATGGAAATATCCTGACACTCCCATGTTACACCTCTCCTACGTGACTTGCATTGGTTGCTGGTTGCCCTCTGAGTGAGATTCAAGGTGCTGGTGATTACCTATAAGGCCCTACATGGCTTAGGCCTGGGATATTTAGGGGATCATCTGCAGCCAGCAACAGCTTCCCATCGCCCGGTGCGTTCCCACAGAGAGGGCCTCCTCAGGGTGCCGTTGGCCAGACAGTGTTGGCTGGCGACCCCCAGGGGGAGGGCTTTCTCTGTGGGTGCACCTACCCTTTGGAATCAACTGCCCCTGGAGCTCCGGGTGGCCCCCGATCTCCGCTCTTTCCGCCGCGACCTGAAAATATGGCTGTTTCATTTGGCCAGCCTGGACTGATGGGATTTTAATTCTAATTTAATTTTAATTTATTAGTCTTAATTGTACTTTTAACTGTTAAATTATGAAATTTGTATTTAATTTTTTAACTTTTTATTAGATATTTCGTAACTGTTGTGAGCTGCCCTGAGTCCGGCTGGAGATAGGGCGGCATATAAATCTCATTAATAAATAGATAAAGTATTTTGCTTCAAGAACTCCTTTCTCAAACATGAGTGACAGTGGAGGTACTCCAAAGCTGGCGAATTTTATAGCACTTTTCTGGGATCTAGTCTACAATGGAATTTCATCTTTATAGAGGTTCCACATTTTTACAGTACATTACACAACAGTTCTAATTAAGGACATTTTTATAGTTGTTTATTAACTACTAGCTGCACAATTTAGACAGTACCAATTTGCATATTGTTTTTCCTCTATGTGGGTAACAAAGTCTAACCAGAGCATGTTTTCAAGATAAATGACATGTTTGGTCTGAACTTGTGCCTGGAAACAAAAAGTAACTAGACAGCCAGCTAATGAGAAGACTCTGAAGAAAAATATTTGATGCAAACCACCTCCTCCCAAAACAAACATTTTCCATAATGTTACTACTCCTTCCCCAAATTGTCATTTTTATTTCTGCTTACCTTCAAAGGGTAAACCAGGAGAACAAACCAACTCCAGTAAATTATGCCATTTGATGGACGAGATCTAAAGTGTGCTCACTCTGCTTGATCTCCCCAGATTGGGGAAGCAACTGGAGATAAGTGGTACTACGGATTACCAGCCCCAATGCCATACAAGACTTTAACAGAGATAACCAACATTTGAAATGTAGCTCAAAGCTAACTGGTCACCAATGCTCATAAAGCAACAGGGTCATTGGAGCATAATGCATTTGTTTGTTTGTTGTTTGTTTGTTTGTTGTTTGTTTGTTTCAATTTGTATACCGCCCTTCTCCAATATGACTCAGGGCAGTGAACAGCCAAAATAAAAAAAGGACAAACAAAATTTAAAAGCAATTTAAAATAATTAAATATTTTTGGCCCCAATTTATTTATTTATTTATTTATTTATTTATTTATTTATTTATTTATTTATTTATTGCGATTTATATGCCGCCTTTCTCCCTAGGGACTCAAGGCGGCTTACAAAATGACAACTTCAATACAAATCACAATACAATACCAAATTAAAATCAGTAACCCAATTAAAAAATGATTTAAAATTATACCAGTGTACCCCCAAACGGATCAGTTTAATTGGTGGAAGAGCCACGTCTTCAGCTCGCGACGGAAGGAAAGAAGGTCGGGGGCTGTCCTGAGCTCAGTGGGCAATCCATTCCAGAGAGTCGGGGCTCCCACAGAGAATGCCCTCCCCCTGGGGGTCATCAGCCGACATTGTTTGGCCGACGGCACCCTGAGGAGGCCGACTCTGTGAGAGCGCACAGGACGATGGGAGAACGGCTGGAGATGGTCCTGCAAGTACCCCGGGCCTAAGCCATGAAGGGCTTTATAAGTGAGCACCAGCACCTTGAAACGTATCCGGAGTGCCACCGGTAGCCAGTGCAGCTCACGCAGGAGAGGTGTTACATGGGAGTATCTAGACGCCCCAGTAACTACCCGCGCAGCTGCATTTTGGACTAGCTGAAGCCTCCGGACACATCCCAAGGGCAGCCCCATGTAGAGGGTGTTACAGTAGTCCAACCTAGAGGTAACAAGGGCGTGAGTGACCGTGGCGAGGGCATCCCGGTCTAGGAACGGGCGCAACTGGCACACAAGATGGACCTGTGTGAAGGCCCCCCTGGTTACGGCCGTCAGATGGTCATCTAAAGACAGCCGAGAATCCAGGAGGACACCCAAGTTGCGGACCCTATCGGAGGGACCAAGGGTTTCACCTCCGATCATTAAGGATGGAACCTCCAGATCCCAGGATGCCGGCATCTGCCCATACTGTTGCATTGTAGATCAACTGTATCTTCCACATGAACTTTAAATGCAGACTCACACAGATCCTATTAAAATAATCTAATCCTGAGGTGTTTTGTTTTTGCAAAATCCCACAGCTGTCACTTGCTCTTTTAACAGGAGCTGATTGTCCAAGAAACCTTCCGTTGACAACAAGACTTCAGAGGAGAAGTGCCACGCAATTGAGAGTTAATGCTGGAATATTACTGGATCCTGAATGGATAAAAAGACTTTGTCCTATATTTACACTTCCTCCTGCTTTTTCCTACTATGCACCAAAAATAGTATTTTCTGACTTATGGCAGCATATCCTATACTGTAGGGCTTGCCTGTTATAGTTCATTTCATTGTAAATAAACACTTCCACCTCTATTTGCTTTTGTGAGTTATTATAGGAAATGCCTCCTACACTGTGGTCATTGGCCACTTTCCTCTTAAGACTGCTATTTTTTCCTGCTGATATAATGCGTGGAATCAAGCTGTTTAAGTCTGCAGTTCAGAAAAGTCCCAAGTTGGAAGGGGGAGACCAGATTATTCCTTGCTTGAAACAAATTAAGAATAAATTGTTTTTCCCCTAATTTCTCAGTAATCAAAATACCCCAAACCAAGCTCCAAGATGCATTACCTCAAAATATTAATATATCTGCCAAGGAAACAACACATTATAATGAATAAAATGTCATGGCATTTATATATAAATCAAATCACTGCTTCACTTTTACTTTTATACCTTTTTTCTAATGAAAAATATTGCCTTAAGTTATTTTTAATAATATCTTTTATTAGCCATGTTCTACAATGGATTAGTTTTATTACGGTATCTTCTGTCATAGAAAAGCAATACAAACCTATTTTTAAGTGGAAGTTGGTACTTTTATTGAAAGAAGTGATAAAGCTTTATTCCTTGATAAATGATGCAGTTGGACATTTACCTTAACTCATGCCCACTTTAGCCAATGTTATATTTCCACTGTATCAGTACTATTATTTCAATTTTGTTTGAGCTGGAACAATGATTAAAACTTATCTATAAGCTTTGGAAATGTAGGTGGCCAAATTCCAAGTGAATAATGACAGGCTAGCTATTTAATTTCCCAAGCACTTACTGCTAGGAAAAGAAATCTTTTCTATAGTATGTTAGATTCTCTAACTGCCCAGTGGTTGTTCCACTGTTATTAAACAGCTGTAGACTTTTCTTCAAAGGAGAAACTTTCAGGATTCAAAAATCTTGGGTTCCATTCAGCCTAAGGCCACAATTAGTAAAAGCTATTAAGGTCATTAGTGCATGTAAAAAAGAGGTGAGGAAGCCCTCTGTTTATGCAACATACATCACAATACTGTGTACTAACATTTTAAACTGGGCCAATTAAGACATGATGTTGGCTTCAGATTTAAACAAGCCTGCAGACTCACTTCTGGCATTATTTAAAACTAATTCCCTTTTGTATAATTGAATACTTCTGTGATGTGGCTGTTAGCAGATGTGTTTCAACTCAAGTAAAAGCCATGCTTCAGTTCCTGTTGTGACATCATGAAAAAAAGGGAAATGTTATCATACAAATATACCATATGCACACAATAAAGAAGGACACACATTAGAATAAGACACGAATAATTTAATTTAATTTAATTTAATTTAATTTAATTTAATTTAATTTAATTTAATTTAATTTAATTTAATTTAATTTAATTTAATTTAATTTAATTTAATTTAATTTAATTTAATTTAATTTCCAATTTATATACCGCCCTTCTCCCTGAGGACTCAGGGCGGTGTACAGACCAAAATAAGAACATAGAATATAAATATTAAAAAACAGTTAAAATATATATATATAAATTTGGCCCAAAATTTAAGAAATCACAAACCGATTAAAAGAATTTAAAAAATTTCTTCTTAAGCCAGCCCGGCTTGCTGGAAAAGATGGGTTTTAAGGGCACGACAGAAGACACTGAGTTCATAGATTCTCCTTATCTCAGGGGGCAACTGATTCCAGAGGGTAGGAGCCCCCACAGAGAAGGCCCTCCCCCCTGGGGGTCACCAGCCTACATTGTTTGGCTGATGCCACCCTGAGGAGGCCCTCTCTTGGGAGCGCACGGGTCGATGGGAGGTCGTCGGTAGCAGCAGGCGGTCTCGCAGATAGCTAGGCCCTATGCCATGGAGCGCTTTAAAGATGATGACCAACACCTTGAAGTGCACCCAAAAGACCACCGGGAGCCAGTGCAGCTCGCACAGGAGCGGTGTTACATGGGAGCGCCATGTTGCTCCCATCACTACCCGCGCTGCTGCATTCTGGACCAGTTGGAGCCTCCGGGTGCTCTTCAAGGGGAGCCCCATGTAGACAGCATTGCAGTAGTCAAGGCAAGAGGTGACGAGGGCATGAGTGACTGTGCACAATAAGCCAATATATTAGTCTATATTCCATGTACTGTATATGGATGGATGACTTTAGGTCCATTTTCCATTTTGTGATTGATTTATAAATATTTGAGGGAAACCTTTCATAGAGCAGTCTTCCTCAACTTTCTATTGTTATTGCTTCTAGTTTGACTTTTGAATTGTTTGAGCAGTAATGTTTTACTGCTTTTATTAAAGGGACGCGGTGGCTCAGTGGCTAAGATGTTGAACTTGTTGATCAAAAGGTAGGCAGTTCAGCGGGTCGAATCCCTAGTGGCGTGTAATGGGGTGAGCTCCCGTTACTTGTCCCAGCTTCTGCCAACCTAGCAATTTAAAAGCACCTAAAACATGTAAGTAGAAAAAAATGGGATCACCTTTGCTGGGAAGGTAACAGCATTCCGTGTGCCTTTGGTGTTTATTCATTCCGGTCAACATGACCATGGATACGTCTGTGGACAGCACTGGTTTTTTTACTTTGAAACAGAGATGAGCACCGCCCCCTAGAGTCAGGAACGACTGGCACATATGTGCGAGGGGAACCTTTACCTTTACCTTACTGATTTTATGGATGTTATATTGTTGATGTTTTCCTTGGCTTTTATAATCCATATAAACTGCTGGAACCTGTAGGTGGCGATGGAGTAGAAATGTGAAAAATCAATTGATGAGTCTTACCACACTGTTCAAATTAGTATATTAGATCTTAAAATCTTCAACCAGGTAGCCTAGTTTAGAATCTGGAACTTAAAATGTGTATCTTATTGCAATCCTGATTGGATAGGCTGAAAGATAATTATTTGGGCAAGTCTTTAACTATCCTATTTGGACATGTAATCACCTAACAGTTATTTGACAATACTAGTGTAATTTCCATTCAAACATGGACCAGGTCTCACATTTAAATGAACATTTAGCAACTATTACCCACTCTTAGATGATGAATTGTGTATAATCTATCACTATTTTTCCTTCTTCCCATCATATGTTTTATACCTTGTTCAAACTCTGGCATTCACACAACAGACCTCAGTTGTGTGATACATGCAGAAAGCTGGAAAATCCATACTCTAATCTTTAATGCACAGGTAAGCAGAAGAGCCATAAAAACAGTGTATGAATATATTAATCAAAGTGAAAATGTGTTTAGCATTTAAAAACCCTCTTGCCTATTTATGTACATAGTATAAAACATCATCTACAGTACAATAGATGCAAAAGCCATTTTAGCCTAGAACCTGATCTTCAAGGCACTTTTAAAAGATAGTAGATTTAGGACTTCCTGAAACTCAGATTCAGTGGTATTCCAAAGGGCAGACACTATGCCAGAAAAATCTAATGGTCTCCTGCTTCTCTCAACGATTTCTTCAGATTTAATCAATCAGCAACAAGTTATGTCTATATATAAGATATCATTGACAGGATAGCAGATGGTGTTTACTTTTTTCGTTCATATTGGTTGTAGAATGAAAGAATGTCCTGGAATTATATGAGATATGTAGAAAAGAACTTTGTCTTGTATGGCTCTCAAAATAAAATAAATTCAATCACTTTGTAAAATAGTAGAAAATGATTGAATCTTTTATAAGCCCTTTAAATGCTGGCTGATTGGTTTACTTCTTTAACTGACATTTATTTATTTATTTACCTATTTTTGGGAGTATAAGATGCTCTCAAGTATAAGACACAATAATTTTTGGGGAGCAAAACAAGAAAAAAATTCCACCTCTTCCTAACAGCATCCATTGGTACTCATCTGGCTAGTATCCTTGCAGCAAACAGCAAACTGCCTGGTCAGCTTCAACACATTATCTGATTTAGCATGAACAGCTGATTGGTCGTTGGATCAGCTTCCCGGAATACTGCCAATCAGCTGTTCCAAGCTGCAGGGATTGCCAGAGCCCATTGCCGCCTCTGCGGGTCGCATTTTTGCCTCCCAGTATTGGGTTTTTGTCCTGTGCAGAGGCTCTGCAACATTCATCCTGCACATTGGGCCTACGGAGGCCCAAACAGAACATTAGAGGGGCAGATCCAGCCATTGGAAACTCCACTTTGACTGGCAATGTGCCAGGTGAGGCCTGCAGAGGCCCGAACGGAACTTCAGAGGGATGCACATGTCTGAGAGGCTGGAGACTGCTTGCTAGATCTTCACAAGGTAAGTGACCCGGCATGGCAGGTTGGGTGGGGGAGAAAGCAATTGTGAGGAGCATGAGGTATTTCAGTGGGTCATGGAGATCTTGGGTGGTCTTAGTCAGGTAGCCTGTTCCATAACTAGGTCTCCCCATAGCCTTCCCCATCCTGAAATATCTCATGTACACATAACAAGCCTCACATTCGATTAGCGAATGTATGGGCAAAAGGAGGGAGTGATCCCGTTCAAGGTATGAGATTCACTCCTACAAATCTTCAGGTTCAGAATGGAATGGTAGGGTCCATTTCATTCATAAATCAAGAACTACCTGTAATTGCTTTAGCCAGACAAAACTAAACTTTAAAGCCTTGATCAGCTAAGAAAAGGATTAGATATCAGTGGGAATTTGTTAAGTACTCCCTATGCTGCAAATTCAATGAAACTTGGTGATTGGAAATAATGCTAGGACAGTGGCTCAATGTTGTTTTCCTTTACTTAGATATTAGAACCGTTCCTTCACAAAAGTGAAAAGAAACATGATTTCTCTGTTATTTATTTAGATAACTGAGAAGTTCCAGTAGAGATGGAATTGGTATAGATTGGTATACATGCGGCCACGTGTTTATTGGACCCGTGTCCCTCCTGGTTGGTGCTGGCCTCCCGGGAGGTTACACGAGGCTGGCTCCAGGGGATTATAAATGCTTCTCTGAGTGAGGGTGTCTTTCCCGCGGTGGTGAGGCCCCTCCTCAAGAAGCCTTCTCTGGACCCGGCTGTGTTAGCAAATTATCGTCCTGTCTCCAACCTTTGCTTTGTTGCGAAGGTTGTTGAGAGTGTGGTTGCGTGACA